TCGGGTGCTTGGAGTCTCCTGCGGGGCCGGGGCCAGCGGCCGCCGAGTCACCAAGCGGGCCGGGGGCACTGCGCTTGGTGGGTGTGCTGGGGGCCTGGGCCGCCTGCCCGTTCTCCTCGTCTGAAAAAAGTTGTTTAATTACGTCAAAGAAGTTACTCAACGGGCTGCCTGGGTACACAGAACAAAAGACAAAAATAAAAAAGGAAAGAGAAAGAGGCAGGGAGGGAAGGAGAGAAAGAACACACGGATGAACGGAGGCTTTGGCGAGAAGGACCGGGGAGGCCAGGGCGGTGGAGGGCGTGCGTGGGGCGGCGGGCAGCAGGCAGGCGGGGGCCCTGGCGGCCCGGGGTGTGCAGCAGGAAGCTCAGGGTCCCCAGGCCTCTGAGATGACCGCATGGGCACGTGGTGAGACCCCCTGCCACTCACCAGCGGGCCCTGAAGGCCCCGACCCCCGAGTCTCATGCCGGGTTCCCCACATCAGCCCCGGCCGCCCCTCAGCCCTGCAGCCTGGCCAACCCCGACCCCCAAGATAGGCATCAAGACCTGGGCCAGCCACACGCCGCAGGGCAGTGGGGACCCCCCCCACCCCAGTCAGAGGCAGGAGAGGGTGTGGCTGCCAGCCCCCCCATCCCACCCGGGTGGCAAGGCAGGCAGTTCAGACAGAGCTCAGCACAGACAGATGGCAGATGGGTGGGCAGGCATGGAGGCAGGGCAGATGAGGCAGCAGGGGGCAGCCCTGGTCCCAGAGTGAAGGTCCTGGGGGGAAGGGAACAGCCCAGGTGGGGCAGCTGGTGCTCTGCTTACCGCCCAGGTGGCCAACAGGTGACCCCTCGGCTCTACTTCCTCCCGGGCCCCCGTGAGCCCAGAGCGCTGAGGGGGCAGCCCCTCTCCCTGCCCAGTGAGCTGGGACGGGACCTCCCGGGGCACTGACGTCCTCAAGGGACACAATAACCAGTTGGGGCCACGGCCGGGCCCTCGGGGTGCGGGGACCCCTCCTCTCTGACTGAGCCTTGGGGTCCCTCTGGGGCCGGCCTGGACTCTGGGGCCTGTGAGCATGTGCACACTCCCAGCATCAAGCCCTGCAGGCGGGTTGGGCGGGTGACGGGGCTGGCGGGGGAGGGAGGGTCCTAGGCTGGCAGGGTGGCCCTTGGCGCCACCCAGTGGGCGAGTGGCGGGTTGCTCCTGGTGCAGTGTGCGGCACGGTGTGCCTGGGGCAGGTGCCGTGTGTGTGCGTGTCAGAGGCGGGCTGCGGCTGCGGCTGCGGGCGCGGGAGGTGAGCGTGGGGTTCTTACCACACTTAGAAAGCCTCCCCTTCAGCTTTTCCATACAGTGTGTGTTGTCTGGACAGTGGAGAGAGGAGGGCAGAGGGTGAGAACAGCTTCGGGGCGGGGGGCAGGGGGCGGGGTGGGCGGCGGGCGAGGGGACATCTCCAGCAACGGCTGTCCACAGGACACAGGCTGAGCTGGGGTCTGCCCTGGCTCAGTCCTCACCTGGGTCCTAGCCCTGCACTCCCCGCTCAGGGCCCCTGTGACTCACCCCAACACCCCTACCCTCTAGGGCTCCCACTCGTGGTAGGAGCTGCACCTCCAGGCCCTCGTGGGGGCCTGCACAGGGCGAGACATGTCTTCTCCTCTGCTCCCTGCCTTCTCCTTGGGGGTCTCTCAGCCTCCTCTTCTTGGGCAGGCTGGGGGCGCTATCAGGAAAGGCCCCACATCCCTTGGAGGACTGTGGGGTGTGGGAGGGAGGGTGCTGGGCTGGATGGGGCCTGGCTAGGGCTCCCACATCCCTGTACTCCCAGGGAAGGAGAGCAGGGAGACGGGCTCAAGGCCAGCATGGGCTCCAAGAGTCTCCATGGACAGCAGTTCGGGCTATACCAGGCTCAGGGCCAGCACGGCATCCCCTGCTTTGGGGAAGGGGGAGGCTGGAGCCCTGGGGACAGGGCCCTGTCCTGCTTGGTCACTGCGGGGCCCAAGACCTGGGACAGAGGTCCTTGCTGATGGACAGACAGACGCGCAGACACCACGTGAGGTAGGGCTGGGACTGGGGCCACAGCTGGCCCGGAGCAGAGGAGCCTCATGCCAGGGGGTCACCTTAGGCCAGTGCCTCCTGGGTGGACACCAGGCCCAGGCCTCCCTGGACAAGCCCCGTCCCTGCCCAGCCTGGCTTCTGACAAGGCTGCCCAGCTCTTCCCAGGGCCTGGGAGAGGCCAGCAGCCGACGGAAGCCTTAGGGCACCGTGAGACTGCCAAGGCCTGACAGTGGCAGCCCTGCCTGGGACAGTGCCCACAGTCCCTGCAGTACCTGGGGCAAGGGCAGCCAGCCTGTGTGTGTCCTCACCCCTCCTACCCTGGGAAGTGCCACACTGAGCACACCTGAGCGCCCCTGAGTGTACCTGAGCACAACCTGAGTGTACCTGGGCACACCTGAGCGCCCCTGAGCACCCGAGTGTACCTGAGTGCCCCTGAGTGTACCTGAGCACACCTGAGTGTACCTGGGCACACCTGAGCGCCCCTGAGCACCCCTGAGTGTACCTGGGCACACCTGAGCGCCCCTGAGCACCCCTGAGTGTACCTGAGTGCCCCTGAGTGTACCTGAGCACACCTGAGTGTACCTGGGCACATCTCTCGCCATTCCCACATGCCAGCTTCCTCCCAGGAGAGCGGGCCCCAGCCCCTGCCCACCAATGGGGTGATGAGGAGCAGGAGATATGGGGGGAGTGACACACACACAATGGAATGAGCATGGCTGGAAGCACAAAGTGGATGGGGGGGCCCACTCGGGCCCCCAGGACCCCACACAGCAGCACCATGGACCCCTGACGAGCCGCCTCCTGTAACCTGAACAGCAGGCTCAGTGCGCTGGATCTGGGTGCCATCTTGTGTCCCCAGACCCGTGGCTACGCCCCTGCAGATGGACAGGTGCCCATCCTTCCGGCCCTCACTAACAGATGCCGTGTACGCACGGTCCGTCAGGCCCGATAGCCTCGTGCCCCTTGACACACAGGGCCCCCCACACACTTGTGCAGCCCTCTCCTCTCAGACACCGCTGCACGAGCCCGGGGCTCCAGGTCTGGGCCTCCCACAGCTCGGCCAGGCAGCCCCTTCCCCCAAGTGCCCCCTCTGTCCTGCCCAAGCTGGGGCCCCCAGCGTGAGGAAAAAGAGGGTCAGGACACCGGAGCCAGCGTGGGCATTGGCCCGCAGCCCCTGGGGGTGCTACACGCGGGGGTGCCTGATGGCCGGCGGGCGGGCTCTGAGGCAGGGCGCTGGTCCCTGCTCGCCGGAAGTCCACCCTCGCGCCAGGCCGGGCCGCAGCTGCGGGCCACTCAGCAGACGGCGGCCGGGGGCTCAGCCTGTGCGGGGCTGGAGCCAGCAGTGGACGCGGCGCGGGCACGGGGCACCTCTCGGGCCAGAGCCCTGCCCGCAGCCCTCCCCGCCCGGCGGCGGGGCCGGAACCTTACCTGCCAGCGTCAGAGGCTACTCTCGTAGCTGGTGGCCACCTTCTGGCCCTTAAGCACGGCGCCCCAGCTCAGTCCTGGCGCTGGCGGGGGCGTCTCTACAGTGGACAAGAGGCTCCTTTCAGTCCCGAGCAGCTGAGCCTCACGCCCCTGGTGTGCAGAGACCGCCAGGCCGGAAGCAGCCTGAGAGGCCAGATCCTCACGCCCCCCCACCGCCCCCGTCTGAGCCACACAGGCCACAGAGGCGCCACGCCACACCCACTCACCTGACAATTGCTGGACGGACGGCTGGTCGTGCGTGCTTAGCAGCTGGGCCTGGATGGTCTCCACCACCCTCTTGAAGCGCCGGCTGGGGCCTGGGGGCAGAGTGGGGTCAGGCCGTGCAGGGCGCAGGGCCCTGCCTATCCACCCACCTGTCGCCAGCTCACCTGACAAGAGCGTAAAGGTGACGGAGTAGATGCCGTTCTCCTTCTGGGTCCCCCCACCCTCCGTGTATGTGATGTCCACCTGGAACTTGACCGGCTTCTGGAACACGGCCGGGCCCCCCGTTGACTTGTACTCGGCCCGAAAGCTCGTCTGGGAGATGACGCTGTGGCTGAGGCTGGGGATCTGGTGGGAGCGGCAGGTGGGCTGAGTCGTGGCCGCGGCCCTGGCCCCAAGCTCACTCCCCACACCCACCCCGTGTCCCCCCACAACCCGGGGAGGTAGCCCAGGAAAGGCCGGCTCTGCTGTGCACGAACTGTGCAAGCCCCAAGCCTCTGCTTCCTGCCTGTGTAATGGGTGTAACACAGATGGAAACTGTCAGAGATGAGCACTCAGCCCCCCACCCAAGGCCCCCACCAAACAAGGGAAATCCTGCTCGTGGGCTTCTCTGGACTGACAGAAGCACGGGGCAGAGCAGACGGGGTGTGCAGGTGGGGTACATGACCGAGGACCCATACAGATCGAGCTGGAGGAGGGAGGAGCGGCCACCAAGGAGTGAGAACAGTTGTGGGGGGGCTGCAGACCCTGAGAGCGAGTGGGGGAACAGGGCCAGCAGGTGCTTTCTGTGGGTTAGGGAGCACAGGCCGGCTTGGGGGCTCTGGACACGACCCAGGAGTCGTCTTAGTCCTGTTTCCTGCTGGTCTGATTATAGGAGCGTCTGGACAGCTGGCTCAGGCCTGTGCCACGTGGGCCCTGCTGTGTTCCAGTTACATGGGAGGGATGGGGGGGCATTTCCACACAGCAGGCAGCAGCTGTCTGCCCTTAAGGGCATCACCCCCAGGTGAGGGCTCTGCTGCTTGAGAAGCCACTGCCCCCAGCTCGGCCGCTGAGCAGAGTGAGGCCCCAGTACAGGGGTGTCCACAGTGGGGGAGATCCTCAGCATGCAGGGATGCCCGGGAGTAAGGACAGGGCACGGGCACCCCGGTGGGGGGGTGGAGCCCAGTGTGGGGTTGTTGTGGTGGGGGAGTTGGCCCAGAGGAGGCTGTGTGGCAGAGGGGACTCAGGGCGAGTGTCTGGGGCATGAAGTTCTGCCCTGCTCTGCTGGGCCCCGACCTCAGCACAGACTCCATCTTGGGGACTAAGGGGGGTGGGAGGCCTTCCTAGCCAGGGTGGCAGGGGTGGCGGTGGCTCGAGGGACCACAGGGGGGCAGAGGCTGCATGGACGAGAGGAAACACAGCAAGCCTGGCCTGTGTGCCTGAGGGTGGGGAGGGGGCCGGAGCCTGGGCTGCGGGAGGACCCTGGGGGAGGGTGACGGGGCTCCCTGGCCTGGCCACGCCCAGGGCCGCTCAGACCAAGGACCAGCGAGCGAATGTGAGTGAATGTGAAGGAGCACATGGGTGTTTCCCTCCAGGGTCCTGGCCGGCCAGGCAGGACCCGTGCTTGTTGGGTACATGAGTGGGTGGGTGAGTGTGTGAGTCAGTGACAGAGTGTGAGTGTGAGACTGAGGGAGTGTGAGGGAGTGAGTGTGAGGAGTGTGTGTATGTGAGGAGTGTGTGTGTGTGAGGGAGTGTGAGGGAGTGAGTGTGAGTGTGAGCGTGAGTGACAGAGTGAGTGCAGGGGCCTGAGCGTCCCGCTGCTCCCTGGCTGTCCCCGAGTCCCCAGGGCTCACAGAGAGGAAGGCGTGCACAATGTCGGCCTTGATGGAGCTCAGCGGCTTGTCCTTGATGACCACGAAGATCTGTTCCTCCTTCTCCAGGTTGATGAAGTTCCCGAACCAGGATTTCTTGGCCAGCCTGGGGGCATGTGGGCAGGGCGGCCGGTCACACTTGGTGGGGGTGGGTCCTCAGGGCCCAGGGCCGGCTCTCTGCCTCTCACGTCCCTGCTGTCTGCACAGGCCCCCTGCCCGTGCCGGGCCCACCACCCCAGGGCCCGGCCCCTCCTCCCATTCACCGCAGCTGTGCCTGGGCAGTGCCTGCTGGGGAAGGGGAGAACAAGGGCTGGGGGCTCCCTGCCCTCTCACTTGCCCTGCCCCAGCCCTGCCCCTCCGCTGGAGCCGCTGTGTTTGGAGTCGCTAGGCAGCAGCGAATCAGAGCAGCTACGGTGTCCTAGGCACGGTTTGGGGAGCTCCAGAGGGACAGCAGCCTCAGAGAGCGGGGTCAGGACCCGCGCCCTCCCCCGCCCACCTCTGGGGCCACAGCCAGCCCCGGGTGGGCAGGCGGGCACGCGGTGGCCCACTCTTGGGAGCACAGAGCTGCGTCGTGCCCCCCCACCCCAGCCAAGGCCACCTGCCGGTGCAGACCGAAGCCCCCCCACCCTGGCCGTGTCAGGACCTGGCTCGGGGTGTCCTGGGCCAACCACGCTCCCGATGACCTCGCCACGGGCTCCCTGTGCCGGGCCTGACTCCAGGGATTTACCTTTTCCCGTGACAGACATCCTGTTCTCCGTGTGGCCCAGCAGAGCAGCGTCTACACCACCCAAGGCTGCTAGACGCTGGGAGCGCCTCCGGCTGCGCCCGGACAACGGCCGCCTCTGTCGACCCCACCCGTCACCCTCTGGCTGGGCGCACCTCCTCCTTTCAGGCCACACCCACGGCAGACGCACCTCAGCCAAGCCGCTGGTCTCATCACCCTCCCCAGGCCTGGACCACCCTCCAGGGGAGCCCTCCTGCCCCTCAGAAGCCGGAGACGCCAGTGTGGGAGGCGGTCGTGAGATGGTCCTGGTCCCTGTCTCAGGACCGACGGCCTGTGTGGTCCCCACACCGCGTGTGGGGGCCTGCAACTCCCTCCCAACCCACAGAGTGCACGCTGGTGAGGGTGTCACTTCCGGGTCTGGGTTACCAAGGACAGTGGCTTCCGTCTGGCTGGCAGACTCCCTCGGTGGTAGGTCTTTTGTTTTTCAACTTTTTACAGGTGTACAACTTACTGACGGCAGTTACACCAATTGGCTGCTTGACTGGTTTGATGAAGCTGACATGCTGGGGCCACAGGGACCTGGACGCAGCCGACAGCCGCACTAAGCCTTGAGGTGGGGCCGGGCCGGCACTGATGCCCGCCGTGAGACTGAGCAGAGGCCGGCTGCGCCACTGGGCCCCAACCAGCAGAAACGTGAGTCATCACTGGGTCTGTTTGTTACACAGCAGCAGAGGTGACTTGTACACCAGGCGGCCTCTGTCTGCTTCCCTTGCAGCTAGGGTGTGGGCACACGCCCCAGCTCCACAGGCAGATGCACCCTCACAGCAGGCAGACAGGAGAGGGCCACGGCGTGACGTCTGGGCCTGCTGCCACAGGGTATGGTGAGCGGGGTGTCCTCTCCGAAGCATGGTTTTGGCAGTTTTCCTGGCTGGTTAATTCTTCTGATTCCTGCCCACCTCCTAAGCTGGCCGTTCTTGAGCCACCCGCAGCCTTCTGACAAAGCCCTTCTGCTCCAGTGGGCCTGAGCTGACGCCCCGCCTGCCCTGGAATCCTGGCCGAGGAGCACAGACGAGGTCCCCCTGAACCTTGACCTCAGCACTCTTCCAGCACCCTGCCAGCTCTCCCTCCAGCCACCTGCCCTGTGTCTGATGCTCTGGAAGGCTAGGCCTCTCCCGAACTGCTCCCCGTGCCCCACGACCACACTGGGGCAGAACGCCTGCTGACAGATTACAGGGCGGCCAGGCGCTTTCGAGAGGCTCTCCTCCCTGGAGGAGGATGGAAACAGTCAGAGCCCGATGAGCAGAGATTCCGTGCTGGGGACCCCTGTGGGCAGCCCTGGCAGACAGACCCGTGGGGAGCGGTCACATCCGTGGGATGAATAGTTCCGTGCTGGGGACCCCGGTGGGTAGCCCCAGCAGACAGGCCCCATGGGGAGTGGTCACATCCATGGGATGAATATTTCCGTGCTGGGGACACCAGTGGCATGGCTCTGGCAGACAGGCCCATGCCGACAGCCGGGAGCAACATCACAGTGCTCTCAACAGGCAAGGCCTCTGTGAGGAGGAGGCCTCGGGCCACCCCAAGCCTGCGGACACGCTGGCCAGGCCCTTAGGTGCAGAACAAGGCCTGGCAGGGTCTCAAGAATCAGAAGCAAAAGGAGAGAGGGCTGCAGGCAAGCCCCACTGGCCGTCACCACTGTGAGCCTTTTTTTTTTTTTTTTTTTAACTTTTCTGAAAAAATACAATAATTACAATTACATTTGTGAAAGCTTTTGGTAAGAGCAGAAAATTGCAATTTAAGGGACACTCAAGGAGCCTGATGGCGTGATAGTTAAGTGTTTGCCTGCTAACCAAAAGGTCAATTGTTCAAACCTACCAGCAGCTCCGCAGGAGGAAAGACCTGGCAATCTGCTTCAGCAAGAAAACCCTATGAGGCAGTTCTACTCTGTCACGTGGGGTCGCTATGGGTTGGAATTGACTCAGCAATAACTAGCAACAAGGGACGTTCGAAGTAGGATTGAGGCAGTGGTGGCTCCGTGGCAGAATTCTCATCTTCCACGCAGGAGACCCGGGTTTGATTCCCGGCGAAGGCACCTCATGAGCAACCACCACCCGTCTGTGAGTAGAGGCTTGTGTGTTGCTATGATGCTGAACAGGTTGCAGCGAAGCTTCCAGACAAAGATGGACTAGGAAGGCCTGGCAATCTACTTCTGAAAATCAGCCAGCGAAAACCCCCTGGAGCACAATGGTCCAACCCACGACTAATCACGGGGATGGCGCAGGACCAGGCAGTGTTTTGTTCCGTGGTGCCTGGGGCGGCCACGAGTCGGGGCGGACTCAGCATCACCCAGCAACAACAAGAGTAGGATTAAAACAGTCCCCTGAACCCAGGTCTCGAGGCCGGCGACGTGCATCCTCATCTGAGTGGGATGCCCCTGGGAGGAGAGCCCGAGCGCACGCTCCAGGTGGCAGACACCATACTTGGTGGGCCAGTGTGGGGCAAGCTGCTTCTGCACAGCTCCAGATACGCTCCTTCTTCTCTTGGAAAAAATTTTTTGACTCTCTGTTGCCGCTCACCCTCAGTCCCTGGCAACCACTAATGAACTTTAGTCTCGATGCCTCTGTCTATTCCAGATGTTTTATACCAGTGAGACATGCACCATCTGTCTTTTGGCGTCTGGCTTCTCACTCAGCACGTGTTCAAGATCCACTTACAATGCGGTGTGTGTCAGGACTTCACTTCCCCGATGGCCGAGTAACACTCCATCGTGTGCACGGGCCTCTTGTCTGTCCATTCCCTGTGGACGGTCACTCGGGCTGTGTCCACCTCCTGCCTCATCCTTCTCTCTCTCTCTCAGCTGCCGATGGGTCTCAGCACTGTCTGTGAGCCTGCTGGGTATGGTCGAGACAGCTCCCGCTGGCTCTCACCCCTGCAGCCCCACCCCACCCTGTGTCACTGCTGGACTTCTGGCCCTGGCACCGTCACTCTCCAGGACAGACTGACCGATGGAGGCCTCCGTGGGCAGATGAGACAGTGCTCAACAGTATCTCTCCAGGATGAGGAACTGTGACCCATATGATGGCCCCCTGCGGGGCTGAGAACCCCCCCTTCAGCCCCAGGGGGGCCGGCTGCGGGGCCCCAGGGCGGCTGACGCCGACCCCAGATCAGCCTGTGTCCCGTCACCTGAGGCCTCCCATAGCCATCCTCCTGCGCATCTGGGAGCCGAGGGCCTCAGTAGGGTGGAGCTGGCTTCCGGCCCCTGGCTCAGTCTGCACCCCACCTTGCTGAGGCCATCCTCCCCCGCACACTGTCCAGGCAGGGCGCTCTGGGCTCCTCTGGGCCGGTGCTGGGTGGTTCTGTGCTGGTTCGGGACTTGCTGCTGGCTCTGTGTCTGTGCCCGGCAGCTCTGTGCCAGTGTTGGTACCACGCTTGCTGGGCTCCTCCGTGCCAGTGTTGGGCTCCCCAAATGGTTCCACGTCTGTTCTGGGCTTCCTGGGGGATTCCTCATCCGTATCGGGCTTCCTGGGGGCTCCTCATCCATACCGGGCTTCCTGGGGGGTTCCTTGTCCGTGCCGGGCTTCCTGGGGGGCCCCTCATCTGTACCAGGCTTCCTGGGGGGCTCCTTGTCCGTGCCGGGCTTCCTGGGGGGCCCCTCATCTGTACCAGGCTTCCTGGGGGGCTCCTTGTCCGTGCCGGGCTTCCTGGGGGGCCCCTCATCTGTACCAGGCTTCCTTGGGGGCTCTTCATCTGTGCTGGGCTTCCTGGGGGAGCCTGTCATCCGTATCGGGCTTCCTGGGGGCTCCTCATCCATACCAGGCTTCCTGGGGGGCTCTTTGTCCCCGCTGGGCTTCCTTGGGGGGTCTTCATATGTGCTGGGCTTCCTGGGGGGCCCCTCGTCTGTGCTGGGCTTCCTGGGGGGCCCCTCATCCGTATCGGGCTTCCTGGGGGCTCCTCATCCGTACCAGGCTTCCTGGGGGGCTCTTTGTCCCCGCTGGGCTTCCTTGGAGGCTCTTCATCTGTGCTGGGCTTCCTGGGGGGGCCCTCGTCTGTGCCGGGCTTCCTGGGGGCTCCGTGTCCATGACGGGGTTCCTGGGGGGCCCCTCGTCCGTGCCGGTCTTCCTGGGGGGCTCTTTGTCCCCGCTGGGCTTCCTTGGAGGCTCTTCATCTGTGCCGGGGTTCCTGGGGGGGCCCTCGTCTGTGCCGGGGTTCCTGGGGGGCCCTCATCCATGCCGGGCTTCCTGGGGGGCCCTCGTCCGTGCCGGGCTTCCCGGCCGACTCTACCAATTGCTCTCCCTCCTCAGGTGGGACTATGTTTTCACCCTGAGAACCTCCTGCCCTCATGAGCCCACTGCCGGCCCCAGAGGCTCAGGAGGCCAGGGCTCTGCTTCTGCCTGGAGAATCCTTCCAGAAAGCCGATGCAGTAGCCCCAGCAGGCAAGCCCCTCTGCCCTAGCAAGTCTGGACAGCGCCACCCCCTGGCTGGGTCTGTGTCCCAGGAAGGAGCTGAGGAGGGCTACCCAGAGGGGCTGGACATCACACAGCTGCCCTGGCTGAGGGCGAGGGGCCGGGCTCCACAGCAGGGGTGTGTGTGACGAGTATCAGCAGATGTGGCTGTGAGGGACCCCCCCCATGCCACACACTTCCCTCCCCTCCCCCTGCACCTCCCCTGTACTCCCCTCCCCCACCTTGAGCAGACCCCAGGCCTCCCACCAGGCCTCCCACCAGGACCAGGGCTTCTCAGCACGGCGGGGAGCACAGATACTCTCCTCCTGAGCGTCTCCCTCGCTGCTCCCCCATCCCCCATTGTCCCACCAAGCAACTGGCCTGGGGGACAGATATCAGGGAGGGGCCCAGGATAACAGGTAGGGGGCCTTAAGGGGGCACTGCTGCCCCCGCTCAGGACCCTCGGATGACTGCCCAGCCCCCACAGTTTGGGTCCACACGCCCCCCACCCCGGCCAAGCACCCAGGCTCAGGGGGGGCCAGGGGCACTTACTCCGGGGACGACTCCGGGGTCAGGTTAGACATCTCCTCTGGCGTCGGGACTGCACGTGGGACCAGCAGGTAGAGAGAAGCGTGGTGACCGCCAGCCCTGAGAGGGCTGACCGGAACACCCATCGGCCCCACCCCCGCACTCTGGGGGTTGTCCGGCCGGCGGGTTCCCGCCGGCCCCAGCTGCAGAGTCTGCCCAACTCCAGCAGAGGCTCAGCTGCAGGAGCCCGGAGCCGCGGAGCTATCCCGTTCCCGGTGCTGAAGCCTTCTCTGGCCCCCCAGGCCCAAGCCCCGCTGTGCCCCCTGCGCCCAATCCGCCCTGCTGTGGTGCTGGTGGGCCCCTACGCACCGCCGCCCTAACCTCGGGGCTTCCCGATCGTCCACACCACCTCCCACCCCCGAGGCCCAGCAGCGGGGCCGAGGGACCCTTGGGCAGAAGAGCGTAGAGGCCGGGAGAGCCTCGCGGCGCCCCTTGGGGCCAGTTCTGCCGGGCGCTCACGCGGACCCAACGCCGCTCGGCGGCACGCGGATCCCGGGACCCCTGAGCACCGAGGGCGCTGACCACCGCGGGCCCAGAGGGACAAGGGCCGGCGTCCAGCACCCTCCCCACCCCCACCCCGAGCGCCGCCCACCTTGCAGTTTCCGGCGGTGGAAGCGCGGAGAGCCCAGGAAGCTGTTCTTGATGGAGTTGAGCCGCGTCCTCCAGGGCACGCCCCCGACGCTGGGGCTGGACGGCGGCGTGGGGGTGGGCGTGCCCGCCGGGCTCTCCTTTGGCGTGTGGACGGGCGTCCCCTTGGGGGTGGGGAGGGGACTGCCCCTCGGAGAGGGGTGAGGGGTCACCTGTATGGCGGGGACAGATTTGGCGTT